AAGTTTCTTAAAAATTTGTGAGAATAATGAAATATTGAGGTTTCTTTCGGGGGTTCATTCAGAATTTGTTTCTCTTTTTTTGCTCTGGATTCAGTTGTAGTTTCGTTGAAATTCAGTTGAGATTTGATGTATGTCTAGAGAGATTGTGAGCCGAGTTTAATTAGCGTTTAATTGAAAGAAAATATCTCATGGCGAAAGAATACGATGTGATATTCAAAAATCGGAAAAATATTTTAACTCCAATTGGATGAGAAATGAGTTTAAAGCAATGAATAAATGAGCAAATAATAAATATATTAACCAAAACGAAGATATAACAAGATCAGCTCAATCTATTTGGAAGCAAGGTGCCAATTTATTAGCAACAATAAGTGAAAATTGGAAATTATATTAAGCTTTATCGTGTTGTCTTAAATGTGCTGATTGTGGTCTCCGAGAAGAGTACAGTGTAATTAAATGCTGTCTCAACTAAGTTATTAATTTTTTTTTATTCAGTCATGAGGATTTATTCATAAAAAGACCTTTGTTCCTATAAATCATTTATTTACGATTTCTATTCTTACATTTGGCATCCCAACTAAAACAACCAACGAAACGAGGCATTGAAATGAAAATCACAGTTCAATTTTCACTGGAAAAAAACCAAGAGTAAAAAGGGTAGACGATTGCTTCACGAAACTCCCATTCTTACAATACCCAGGAATCAATCGACCATTAATGACAGCATTCAGGTGAAAATACGATTCCATCTGTAATGAGAAATAAAAAAATTGTAAAGGCAAAAATTTCTCATAGTTTCCATATTTTCATCGAAAATTCTTCCTTCTATCCCTTTACTCACCTGAAAATTGAAGTCATCCGTCCTGGTCCTCTTGATACTCCAACGTCTTACTTTCTTTACATTGGAAAAACAAGTAATAAAGTGGGCCAGGACAGCATCGACTTTCTACTAAGGAGCCTTCAACTGATTATCAGTTTTTTTCATCATTGAAAAAAAAGTGATGTTTTTAAAGCTCACTAGGTCCTGCCTGTGTCATATGAAATTCCTTCGTCATGTATTTCTGAATGCTGAACAGCCAGTGAGTGACTTCCAATGGATAGTATGGACTGTTTCTGCAATATTCAATGAGATTCCCTAGACCCTCCTTAGCCACTGCAAATGTCACGTTCGATTTTTGCTGAGGTAATTGGCCTGTTGGGACGTCGACTTCTTCTCCTAGCTCTTCTCGAACAACCTGAATGACTTCGTTCTCATCCAAGAACTCGTCACTTGTTGTAGGACCCTGAAGCCATGTGACAATAGCAGCGTCATCCACTCCTCGATATTCATCCATCTGACTCAACAATTGAAAGAATTGGCTTCTCCACATTTCCATATTTTGATTATGCACAACACGTAGATTTTGCTCATTGATACTTAGAGAGGCTGCTTCCACCCTCTGTTCAATCTCAGGATAAAGCTATAAGATAAATTATTCTTCAGTCAATGTGATGGATATTGTTGAGCAAATTAATGTGGTGTAGTAATTGAGGGGTTAAACTTTGAACAAAAAATAGAAGAATTCGACCCTTTTGTTGAAAAAAGAAATAATTTTTGGTGAGAGTTCAGCAAGATCTTTTTTTGTAATTGAAAAAATTCCCATCGAAAAATATTTTATGACTATTTCGATTTGAAAAAACGCTTATTCTAGAGAAAATTCATTACTCAACTAAATGCGGAAAATATTTGTTACATTTTACCACTTCATTATTTAATTTATTAGTAAATAGATAATCGATAATTACCGGTTCCCACGACTTGATAGTCGTCCTATCCAGGACTCGTTTCCAGGCATCGGAAATCCAAAAAATCACCTCCCTGATAGTAAATTTCTTCAAGGCTTCAGTCAGTGTCGTCCCCGCGTTCAACTGATCTAAAATAAATCCCATCAACTGCTGACGATACATTAGCTTCAAAGTCTGAAGACATCCTTGATCCATGGGCTGGATCAAGGATGTTGTGTTTGGTGGCAGAAATTCTACCCGTATGTCTCCAACAGATAACTGTTGTGGGTGGGCAGCGCAGTTATCAACCAGCAGAACGGCTTTGGATGGTAAACCTCTTTTCAGCAAAAAATCCGTAACCTGGGGAACAAATTCCTCCTTGAACCAGTCGGTGAAGAGAGTACTCGTCATCCAAGCAGTCTTCTGGGATTTGTAGCACACAGGAAGATTTGTGAGATCTTTGATTGCTCGTGGCTTGGCTGATTTTCCAATGAATACTAGAGGCAGTTTAAATGATCTTGAAGCATTGGAGCATGCTATTACAGTCACTCGCTCCTTCTGGCATTTCAACCCAGCAGCTTCAGACTCTGACTTTGCAGATAAAGTTTTTTTCGGAATTTTTCGGAAGTTCAGCCCAGTTTCATCTGCATTGAACACCTGATCTGGTGATAGATTCTCCTCCTCCATCATCTTGGCGAATTCCACCTTGTACGTATCTGCACCCTTGGAATCAGCTGAGAGTTTTTCACCAGTGACTGTCAAACATCGCACTCCATGGCGTATTTTCCACTTACTCAACCAACCATCAGTTGCACCAAAATCAGCAGCACCCCCAAGACTTGCGTGAAAATGGAGTGCCTGCATTCGAACCAATGAGCCACTCAAAGGACACCCAGCAGAACGTCGCTCTTGGAACCACAACCAGCTTCATCTACGAGACTATTCACTGGTTTCTTCAACCATTTCCTCTTTGCTGGGAGGACGTTGTGATGGTCATTCTGCCATTGACGTAAATTCTCTTTATTCTTGATCCAACCTCTGACTGTTGTCGAATGGACACCAAGAGTTTCTGCCACCGCGTCAACTGAAGCACCATTCTCTAACTCATCTAAAGCTTTTAATTTAAAATGAATTTCTACACCTGTAATTTTCCTCTTTCGACTCGAAGTATTTGATACATTCATTTGGAGGTTATATCTCCGAGCAGATTCATAATATATCGGCCGGCAAAACACTTCCCCTCGCATATGGCGTCACATGCAGAGTGGGAGAAACATTCCCCGCCGCTTGAGCACGCCCCCCGAGTTAGAGATCATAAGAGCTAAGGGAAGTCCACTGTACTGCCGAGTTACCCGCACAGGCAGTTCGCCCAGCCGTCAGATTCGACCGTGGCGGCATCCCTCCGTTGGGGTCGAACTACTTTTGGCTTGGGGTCAGTCCAACCCCGAGATCTGAGCCTCTACTTTAGTCAATCCTCTTTGCACGAAACCATGCACTGAAAGGTTGCCGCGCAATTCATCCATAGCGCTATTCAGCGTAACCGATTCGGGTAGTGTCTGCCTAACGCGGCTACCTAGCTGTTGGACTGTGGCCGTCACTGCAACCTAGCAGCTACCCAAATGCAAGTCATAATCTCTACCTGGGGTCTAACCACGTAGTTGACGTTTGTCTTTCGCGGCTGAACGGTGTGCGGTTGTCCTTTAGGCTGTCTCTTAAAACCGATTGATCGGACAAAAAAAGTCGAGAAACATTTTTTTTAGATAATTTCATGGGGATTAATTTTGTATGTAACTATTTTTATCGCAAAACGCATAGTTTCTGTGGAAACCGTGAAAAACCAATAAATTGCGAATTCTGATTATTTAAACAATAACTTGCCGATCGAAATTGACAGTTATTTTTTAGGATATTATTATTCATGTAAAAACCAAGCGATTACGACATTAAAACCTTTTGTAGGATTTCGCAGTGTCATGAAACCCCTGACGCCTGGACTACTTAGCGCGGATGAGAACGTGAAGGATTAGATTCATGTGGAGAGTGAATTGAAAAACTCCACGCCGAGAACATTGATCCTACTCCTATTGATTTTTTATTGCAAGGAGTTATTTTTACAAAAAAAAAATTGTTTTTTTTTTAGTTTGAACGTATTGCTAATTTTTTTGAAATAATTACAAAATTGTTTTCTGGTTCCTCGCATTTCACCGGACTCTAATTTAGAGCATCGTCCCCACGAAACTGAAAGCAGTTTCTGTCATCATTCAAAGAAAAATATTTATTTTGTTTTCAAATTCAACGATCCATGGACATTTAATAGACACAATTTTCAACAAATGCGGTTTTGTCACATTCCAAACATAAACCATTATTTCACCGAAGGTCTTTATCTTTGAGTTCCAGATGTAAATATGACAAGAATTCGAATTTTCGACGAACGAGATAGTACATCTCGACGCTAGGCCTTGAGGAACTTTTCTGGCGAATATGAGGTTACAGGACGAGCCGAAGTCGAGTTCTGTAATCATATGAGGCAGAAAAGTTGTCCACGGCCGTGTATCGACTAGTATTTTTTGTCAATTAGTTCGGGAGCGGTGTTTCACGGACGCTTTACGGACTGAGTGACAAAAAAAATAGAACACTGAATTAATGCTCAGTTAAACGCAATGGTGGCAACACTTCAGCATTGGATGTAATGCTCAGTTGGCCCGGCCCACCCTGTTTTAATGGTTACCCACCGTTAAAAAACTCACAGGCATTTTATATAATGTAACTAAGGATACTTTTCCGATTTTTCGTCCCGTTTGCACCATAAAGTTCTGTCGTATAAAGATAGAAGGTGCGCTCTACCTGATGTTTTATAGAGTCGGAGTCGAAAGTTGTTCTTGGCTGATACGCTACCATGTATCTCGACTATTACTGACTGGTTAACTAAAAAAAATAGAAAAAAACTAACAAACTGACTTCTTCAATTGAAGTGCCTAAAAAATGATAGTAGTTTTTAGATGAACACAATTCCCGAAATTCACAAAGAAAACATATATTTGGCAATAGATGAATTATTTTTTCCCATATTAAATGAATGCCCGCTACGCGATGTTGCCGGAAACACGCTAAACGCACCTCAGCAGTGTAGAGTGAGTGCGGCAAAGCTGGAGTTTAAATGACGCTGCGGCGAATCCCCGCGGCGGAGACAAAAGTTGCAGGGTCGCGTATGATGACCAGACTAGGGTTAACACTCTAGTTGCCTTATTGTTCAAATGTTCAGCACAAATACAGAACATCAAAGTTTGTAAAACTACTCCGCATGCATGCAGCATATTTTTTGCAACATCCTTCCAGTTATTTTCTGCAATTCTCTATAAAAGCAATGAATAGTTGTTACAGAAATAACGCTTTAAACAATAGATCTTAGCAGATAATAAAAACTTGAGATACGTATTGTAGACTATAAAGACAGGTGCAAAAATATATTCCGTTGACTAAAACTGTGGCGAATAATATTAAATTGCACAATTTTTCCAAAGACCAGACATATCTGAAATTCGTTAAAATTGCAACAATAATGATCTATCACTGGTGAAGCACTCAGAGATTAGAATGTAAGACTCTCTCGAACAATTCTAGATATTCTTCGACAATTGTTTTCAAGCGCTTCGAAATTTTCGCTGACTTCGACGGCGAAGTTATTGTGCTAGGACATATTTTCCGAATCTCATCCGAAAGTATCTGCAAACACATCAGACATTTTCGTTTTGCCACAGAAGATATAATAAATTTTGAAATAGCACGGAAAATCACAATCGGAAGAAATAAAAAAAAATTCACTTGAAAATGAAGAGATAAATGTGTTGTGAATTGGGCGAAAAGTCTATCTGCTGCAATCCAATATAGGCTTATAAAATACATTCCCATCGTTTCTATGGTTATACAAATGAAAAATGCTTTAGTCGAATTTAGGTGGAAAGGATAACCAGTTGGATAGATAGTTTTCGTGAAATCAAACGATTCATTCGATCTAGACAGATAATTCTGAAAATATGCCCTGAAACTGATGTTATTGCTAATACTATAAAATTCCTTCATGAAGAGGCTAGAATAAATGTTATATATAAACGAGATTTAAAGGCAGGTCAATTTAAGGATAACATTCCGATGACCATAAAATTAATGAAAATCCCTCATCATTTGTGGAAGTCTTATATCGCACTTACCCAAAGGGCTGTACTACATATGCTGCCAATGTTGCGATAACCACGGAAGCATAATAAATCCTAAACAAACGGGCTAATTTCGCAATTTCCACGATACTTTGTGTTATTTTATTGCGAGACACTTGAACATTCCAACAAATGTGGCATATTTTTATCAGATGGTAAAAGTCTCGTCGATAAACGCACAATCGAATTCCCTAGATGCATCAATATTTTTCATTCTTTTTCGTTTCACCACTCCTTTCGAGTTCCACGTACTTTAAACATACTCAATGTGGTGGTGAGCGTAGCGGTAGCGACTTCAACAGCTAACATGAAATCAGTTTGTAAAAGTCCGATCATGTTGCGTATATTACAAGCTGAGCCAAAACATAATGCAGGTATCAGGAGGACAAAAGGTAATACTTCTCAATAAGGCCATTTTGGTTCACGATGCGTGAAAATACTACCCATTGAATACAATCCAATTGATTGCAGAATACGGACATCTCCGCCTAGAAGGTATTTAAAGTCCGATTGAAACGGCCGTGCAGTATTATAGAACTCTGTCATTGTAGTTCCGTTAGTGAACTCAACAGTGCTACAATGTTTGGATGAAATCGAAGAGAATAATCGCTGAGTTCAATTGCGTTTGGTATCAGGTAGACTGCTTCACAAGATCGATATAATGAGCTTTCAATATTCAATATCATGCGATATGATTGGACGAAACATGAACTAGAAGATAAGTGGGAAAATTACCGTACGCAATAATGCAGGCAGGCTCAATGACCATTTTCTTAAGTAAAAATTACTGACATTCTATGAGATTGGGAGCGCATTTGCGCGTAAACGGTGGGCGTTGTGCATGATACAAACATGGTATTTGCCTCTTTAAAGATATATGACCAGAACGAATCGAAGATGGCAAAACAGCGTCGTGAACCGATAAGAAGTCTTTATTATCGTGATAGACGTTTGTGAAAATTGAGGGCCCAAGGAGATCGTTCGTCTCACTTTTTTAATCCTGAGTTTCGATGTACGAAGCTAAGTGGAATGTGACTCTAATTCTATCAAAGGGAAAAAATCGACAAAGAGATCCTAGGCACCCACATCTTGATTTTAAAAAAATTAGGTCACATTTTTCTCATTGTTCCAGCAACATGCTTATTTAACCCATCAAAATGCAGTCAACCACTGCGAAGTAATAACTTTAATTGCCGCCAAAATTTTCATCATCTTACTAATGATTTTTGGTGAAAATTTCAGATTTAAAAAAAATGAGGTCTTTGAGATAATTGTGATCGAATGAAAAACACGTTTTGCTGCATAAAACCCTTAAATAACAATGGGATACATCAAATGACGGCTCATTTTCAAGGTTTTTCTATGTATATTTCATGTGCAAAAACGCGATTTGATACCTCCAAACCCGAATTAGATATTGCTGAAAACTTAAAAAGAAAAATCACCTGAAAATATGCATCGAAAAAAATGAAAAATTTTCAAAAAATCATAACTTCCTTCATTTTCAATATTTTTGGGTGATTTTTTTTGTAAATGTTCGCATTGAGACCAACTTTAAAAGAAAAAATCGGCGAAAAAATCCGTGAGATCGACTTTTTTGGCCTTGCGTTTTGACGTGGATATGCTCATACAGGAAGGGAGAGGGGTTGCAAGCAGAGGGGTTTTGCAAACAGGGGGGTTTTGTAAAGAGGGGGGTTTTGTAAACAGGGGTGTATTGTTAAAAGGGGGTTTTATTGTTGACGAGGGGTTTTGTATGGTGGTTTATTACGGGGGGGGGGCTGTTTTGTAAAGGAGAGTTTTATTAATGGGAATGGATAGTGAGGGTGATGTGAGGGAATGGTTATGTGAGGGGTTGTAGCAGGGGTTTTGATTCATGCGGTGAAGGTTCATATGGTGAGGGGGGAGGGGCTAGAGGGGAAGTTCTATTATTGTGATGGGATTTTATACAGTGGCGGGGTGTATATGAGATGGTTTATATCAGGGACATATATTATGAGAAGGGGGGGTTGTACATCGAGAATCTAGTGTGACCCCCCCTCTTACGGGAACCTCATATATAGGGGGGGGGGGGGTTGTACATCCCGTAGACGATTTGTTAGGTGTATAAATTAATTCTCGGCCTTTTTCCGACAATTCTGACATTTATTTATAAAAAAATGAATACAGATCTAATCTTGAAAATAATCACCGTCACTTTGCACGCGCATTTCTCCCATCTATCGGGCAATTGTCGGATTCCGGTTCGGAAGAAAGATGGTGGTTTTGACTGGATGAAGTCATCAATGCTCTGCCGGACTTCTTCAGAAGATCGAAACTGGGTATCCACCAGGTGATGTTGTAGCACCCGAAACAGGTGATAGAAGGCGCAAGGTCTGGAGAATACGCCGCATGTGAGAGAGTTTCCCAGCCCAACGTGGAGATAACTTTCAGAGTTTGTTTTGCCGTGTGTGGCCGCGTGTTGTCCTGCAGCAAAATCACTTACTTCGTATCACTACCAGTAAAAGGTCTCTTTTCCTCAATAGCATCACTCAGTTTCACCAGTTGCTCCTGATAACGCTTAGCAGTAACGGTTTCCCCCTGTTCGAGTATCTCATAATAGATTACACCTTTGGAATCCCACCAAATACACAACAATTTTTGCCCGTGGCATTTCTTCGAAACAATTGAAGCCCAATTGGCAGGGGGGTGGTGCGATGAGGGGTTAGGGGTTCTTTCAGTCCTCAAGGAACATATCTGAATTTAAAACAAAAAAAGGAGCATTAAAGAAACCCACCCAGATAAGGTAAAAAATAAACACGTCAAGGAAAGCGCTATAGAATTCTTTATGGAGTCAGATTTAGCACATTTTGGACATTTAGCGACATGTTTTTTAACGTTTCTTTCACATTCCCTTTACGAAATGTTAAACACGGCTTCGGGAATGGAATGGAAAAAAATCATGATGTTCTAAAAATTTTGGTGCGTGTGTCACTTTTGCATAAAACATAACTTTTTTTTCAGCCCCCTTATGCATTACTGGTTTCTTCTCCGCCATTTTAACAATTTTGGGTAGGGACAAAATATATTTCACCAATTTTGGGTTCAAAAACATCAATGTTAATTAATAAATATTGAAAATAAACAAATGTTACCCATCCCACCTGTGTATTTCCATCCAAAACTGCCCGAAACCCTAGCGGGAAGTCACTAGATCCGCTTGGGCATGCGCGCATCCATCTAGTTACTATGAGAAGGCCTATTGAGACTATCGGCAGTGGCGGTGACGCATCTCAGTAGATTGTACGATCCGCCGAGTTTTCATGTAAGCGACAGTTATAATGGCTCACTTCATGTTGTATTCCTACGAATGTTTTGTGGGTTACCCATCTAGAAACTGTATGAATTTACGGGCCAAGAAATGGTAAGTCTCATTTACCATACCTGTACCTCGTTTTACAGACCTGGTGTGCTAAACGCCATTTACCCCCTCTCAACACAGCCCCCGTAAGCGTCACTTATCGGGCCTCAGTGACGAAAAAACCTAATGCGCTGAATATATACGATGGATTCGAAATAAGAAAACATGGAGTCGAATTTTTGGAACATTTTATTATTCACCTATGAGTAATTCGAGACGATAGTAGTATAGGTAATACTCCTGAAACGTAATTATATTTAAAGAAATCATCGGGAAACAGATTATGGATTTTACTTAAAGTTAATGATAGTGATGTGATAATTTTGTTGTTTTACTATTTAATTGTGTCTATCTCCTGCTCGACAAATGAAACCGTGAGATTTTAGAGTTTCATAAATTTAAGCCCCCCCCCCAGCCGAGAATCGAACCTGTGTCTCTCGCATACCAATCCCACACTCTAACCACACAGCCACCGTCGTCGGTCAGAAACAACTATTAAATTGTGGCGCCAAATGAATTGGAATTGAACTAGCATACTCCTTATTCGTCCTACTGATCTACTTTTACTATTTGCTTGATTACGATTAACAATTATTATTTATTATAGTTTTTCAGCTGTAGAACTTCGTCATGACTTCATTTTGTAAAATATAATGTACGGTAAATGAATTGCAATCAATCAATTTAAGCATAACTTTCTCGTTGGGTGTCTAAAATTTTTATTTATCAAAATCTGCCGATTTGTTCGCGTGATATGAGTTTTTTTTTAATTTGATTTTTTCAAATTCTTGTCATGTCTGATGAGCAACCGATTGGGGCTAAAGAAATAAAGAGTCCCCCAAATTCAGCAATTATACTGAACTTGACTATGAAAATGACAATTAATGATTCTGAGATATAGACGAATCTAAGGTGGCTAAGTTGATATAGAATGTTCCATATATAACACATATTACTTAAAAATTTTTTTCTTCTCGTATACCTTTTCGGATCTTTACGATTTGTTCCCTTTCCACCCCCGAACCCCCTGTACCGCACTCGTCGAAGGACAAGGGAAAACCTCATTTGAGGGGAAAACCTGCCCAGGTACTAGTCGTCTCTTGCGAGACTCCCGCTCGACAATGAAACCGTGAGATTTAGAGTGTCACAGGAATCGAACCCGGGTCCCACGTATGCCAATCCCACACTCTAACCACACAGCCACCGCCGTCGGTACACATATTACTTTTGATACTCAAAAAAGCCATCACTACGTCATTTAATTCCATGATTGAATCTCTGACTTCAGATGAAATATGTTCAACGCTTTAGTTGAATATAAAAAAAGTAAATGACAATAGGTTATCGCGAAGTTTTTGAATTTCTATTCAATGCATGGACTTGTCTCGTCCATTCACGTATTCTTGAAAAACGTGACAGTGCCAGTCTATTTATTTTATCGACAAGAATCGATGCCTCATTCTTACAATCATTCCTCTCGCAGCCTTCTCGTCCATTCTAGTTGTCTATTTTCCAAAAAATAGAAATATAAATCCCAATGTACGTGAGTTTGCCGTAAAAAGCCTTTCGTTACGAATTCCATCACTATCGATTTTATTTTTATTCTCCATTCTAGGGTGTTTCTCTCGCATTATGTTTGTTGATGTTAGCAGAAGATGGAATAGTACATTACATGCCCGAGCCTTGGGAAACAGATCACCGTCCCCCACGTGCAAGATTGCCTTCCGAGCCGAAGGCAAGGTGGGAAGCACGTGGGAGAGGGTGATGTTTTCCATGGCGAGGTGTGTATATTAATTTTCGGTATGCAGCGCTACGAAAATGGGGTTTTTCAGGTCCCGTGACACGAAAATGAATTTTCGATGATTTTGCTTCCGAATGGAAGCATTGAAATCGTTCGATTTTTCGAATCGCTAATTTTGCTTGGAAACGATGCAGAATGGTCTGAAATGTAAAAATACGAAGTTTGACCACCCCGTGTGTATGTGCGGGTGTCCACCTGGTGGTCAACTTTTTGAAAATTGGAGGAATAAAGGGCTAAAATGATTCAAAAAAATCTGAAATTTGTTCAGCTTATAGGTAATACTAAGAACTAACTGTGTGCTAAGTTTCAGTTCAATCGGTCTAGCCGTTTTTGAGAAATGACCATTCG